GAAATGGTTTATCAAATCCTTCCAATGATTGCTAAGCCAGAATCCATCTTCTCGGTTGAAATTGTCTCTGTGCTTGTATATGTGGATAGCCTCATGAACTAATCTCTCATGGTAGCCAGATGGCTTACAAATAACCTCTGTCTTGGAGAAGTCAATGTCATGTGAGCCTACTGAATTATAACAATGATCTGCCACGGCCGAGGTGTTAGTCCTACCGTGTTTAAGGTCTGCTTTGTGTTCACGAATACGGTCCGAGACATGGCGTTTGGTTTCTCCAATGTAACTACTACCACAGAGGCAAATTAGTTTGTAGACACCAGGGTACTGTATGTCCGGAATCATATCTTTTACAGACGGAACCAGATCACGGATTTTATGTAATGTGTTGAAACGGACCTGGATCTTATGTTTATTCAAGATTTTGGAGATATTTTTTGTGATCCCCGCAATGTAGGGTAAAGTGATGGTTTTGAAAGGCTCCTCAAGAGGGTCCTTCATGGTTTGAGTGATAGCTTTGCGGATTGTATAGTCGGAGTAACCATTAGCCTTAAGAGCTTGGTGTACGTGCTTGAGTTCACTACCTATGTGTTCCTGGTCGGATATGCATTGGGCTCTATGGTGCAGTCTTGATGAGAGAATTCTTCTGTGATGGATGGTGGTGGGAATCCGGTTTCAGATAAGCATCCGTATGGGTAGCTTTCCTGTAGACAGAGTGGCTCATTGAACCATCAGGTGTCTTTTTTATTAGGACATCCAAAAAAGGTAGCTTGCCATCAACCTTATGGAAGAGGTACGTGGATGACACTTTTGTCATCTGGCCACATGGCCGGCCTGCTCTAGACCAATTCTTCGACCACATCAATTCCATACACCCAGCCATCAGATTTACCATGGAAGTCGAAAAAGATGGAAAGCTACCGTTTTTGGATGTCCTAATAAAAACGAGACAGAGCCATTTCTTGTTCAACTTGGCTTGTGACAGAAATTCACTCTGTCCCCATGCATTACATTACATAGCATCTTCAATAATTATGTAGTTTGAGAAGCTCACAATGGCCATATAAATTAATAAGCATTTGTTACAGTTACAATTATATGTTAATCGATGCCTGGTTGTAGTTAAGTGATCGTTACCTGCTGGTCAACCATGTTACAGCTGCTGATGATCTGGTAATGACCACTCAATGAGATGGAGTTAGCGAATCTTGTTCTGTGCCCGGATAATTCCATCATGAAATGGGGCCTTGCATATGTTTCACAAACATAAATCACCTGCCAGGCAATTTCAAGTCCTAAAACACTGCACCTGCTCAACTCTCCATGAGTAATCAGGCAGTTCTACAAGTGGTGGAGGAGCTCCCATACCTGGTTAATGTGACACGACCTGCTCTGGTTTGGCAACCAGAGTCTCACTTCAAATTAGTCGAGCAGCATTATTTCATTAGCTTGTTTAACACTGTGTGGAAGCTGCCTGGACTTTTTCTCCATACAAATCTGTGAGTGTCCATCGCCAAGGACTCGTCAGTCTGAGAGCATCCCTCTCCCTGCCATACTGGCATTGCACCTGCTCCTCACCCTTTTTTGCTGCGAATTGTGGGCGCACAGGATGGTGCCACGTAGTCATTTCAGGTTGGGCCCGACCGGGTTACCTGGGTCCCCCGGCCACAGGGGGCTTTTGGCGAACACAATCCCCGGGCCTGGCTCCAGGAGTGATATCAATATAAAATATACGTAAGGATACCCCCCAATAGACTCCCTCTGGAATTCTACCAGGCACCGCCACTGGGCAAAGACCCCGGGGCTGGCCCAGGACATGCTGGCGAGACGATGTTACTTGGCTGACCTGGGAACGCTTGGGAATTCCCCACAAAGACCTAGAGTCTGTCGCCAGGGAAAGGAAGGCCTGGACCGCCATACTCAATGTGCTGCTACTGCGACCCCAACCAGGGCAAGCGGATTTAGAAACTAACAAACAAACAAAGCTGTGATTTTTCTTTGCCACATATATTACTCCTTTCTCTGTGAATGTAAAATATGAACTTATTTAATTGATCTGTGCTGGCATATACAATGAAGGCTGGCCTGCCTATGATCCTCTATTCAACCAGACTATATTGTATTAGAAGATTACAGATCCTTTACATATCAATATCAAATATAATCAGTGAGTCTGGCAGGCAAGGCAGCATTGGTTTGGTCATGAATCCCGCATTCCCAGACACCGCATGTTCAAGCAGCTTCTATTAGTCCAAATAATAGAGGCTGCACAGGCATGGCATTGGCTAGAGAAAGATTGGAGGATGTGGAGGTGATCAGACCTGCCAATGACTGGTGGAGGAGGCCCATTAGGTATGCTGCAGGGCAGTTAGAGGTATTTGCTCTGCAACAACGATGAGGTCGGAGTAGCGAGGGTTACATGAATGCGTGGAACGATTGGTTCCTAAAACCCAGCAAGACGGTGGGGAGCACAGCTGGTGCATCTGTCAGTCATCCCATGACACCTGGATCATTCCCATGACCTGCTGACAAGTAATCCACACTTACATGGACTTAAATTCCCCCTATCATGGCATGAGCACTGTGATAAGGTTATTTCCCATTCTTAATTAATGGTGGCTGTTTTCTTTATTTAATCTGTTAATGATTCATGTGAAATGTATGTGTATGAAAGAGTTATACTCTTTGGTTCTTTCGGTAAAGTCACGTAGGTAGAAATAAAATAAATCACGACGTTTCAATCGCAACACAAGCAAACTTCATCAGGTGGGACAACCACGGCAAGAAAATGCTGAAGTCGGCGGGAGAGCTGCCGTGGCAAGAGGTTATATAGGTAAGAGAGGGGGGAGGAGGCAAGGGGGGAGAGAGAGAGGGGGGGGGGGGTATGTGGTAGGGAGAGGCGGGCGCGTGAGCGCTAGGGGAAGAGGACGTGAGATTGGGGGGGGCAAAGTAGGCGGAGCTAGAAGTGGGAAGGTTGGAAGAACCGAAAGAGGACGTGAGGATGGGGGCGGACGTGGGCGGGGCTAGCAGTAAACCAGCAGGTACGATGGAAACAACAAGTTGAGGCATTACCTGGTTGATAACATCCTTCCAATGATTGTTTAATTTGTTTCCATCTTCTCGGTTGAAGCTTTGTTTATATATCTGGATGATTTCATGAACAAACCTTTAATAGTAGCCCGAAGGTTTGCAGAGTACCTTGGTCTCGGAAAAACCAATATCATGCGAGCCCACAATGTTATAACAATGGTCAGCTATGGCAGAGGTATTGGTTCTGCCATGTTTCAGATCTGCCTTGTGTTCGCAAACACGGTCCGAGACATGTCGTTTCGTTTCCTTCGGGCTACTTGTACAACTCAGTTTGTAGACTCCAGGGTATTGCATGTCAGGAATGACCTCCTTCACAGATGGGATTAGATCACGGATTTTGTGTACTGTATTGAATCGGACCTGGATCTTGTGTTTAAGATTTTGGAAATATTTTTGGTAACACCTGCTATGTATGGTAAAGTGATGGTTTTGATTGGATTCTCAGGAGATTGTTTCTCCATGGTTGGAGAAACAGCTTTGCGAATAATGCGGTCCGAGTACCCATTCATCTTGAGGGCTTGGTGTACGTGTTCCAGTTCACTGGCTAGGTGGTGTTGGTCGGAGATGCAGTGGGCCCTATGGTGTAGTGTTTTGATGAGGGAATTTTTCTGTGCCGGATGGTGGTGGTGGGAATCAGGTTTTAGATATGAGTCTGTGTGGGTGGCTTTCCTGTGGACAGAGTGTCCTAACGAGCTGTCAGGCCTCTTCTCAAACAGAACATCCAGGAATGGTAGCTTACCATTCTTCTCCACTTCCATGGTGAATTTGATGGATGGGTGTATGGAATTGATGTGGTTGAGAAATTGGTTCAATGCTGGCAGGCCATGTGGCCAAATGACGAAAGTGTCATCTACGTATTTCTTCTACAAGGAAGGATGTAGGGTGGATGTCTGGATGGCATCAGTTTCACATTTCTCCATGAAAATATTTGCTATCACTGGTGATAAGGTGGAGCCCATGGGGGTACCTTCATTTTTTTTGTACAAAGTACCATTCCAGGTGAAGTAAGTGTTGGTAAGGCAGTGCCTAACCAAAGTTGGTACATCAGGATTCAGTCCATGTTGGACTAAGTCTTCAATTATTGCTAAGGTGTCAGGTACAGGAACCTTGGTGAACAGAGAGACTACATCAAAGCTGACAAGCAAATCATCTGGAGACAGATGCTGAGGTAGTCTTGCCCGTGAATGGAAGCAAGGTCTCAGTTTAAGAGATTATCTATGTGGGGAGCAGTGGCGCAGTTATTTCAATGCATTATGAACTCAACAATTATAGTTTGATTATTATCGTTGACAGCAAACTTGATTGATAAGTGAAAAAGTAACTTATTGTGCGCCTCTGATATGTTCATTAATCCTTTATTAATTACTTGAAGTGAGGAAGCATGAAGACTGAGCAGATGAAAGCGGCCAGGCATGTTTATGGACACACCCCCACCTTTTTACCATGCTATTGTGTGACAGTGTCAAGTTTGTATTTGCTGTAAAGTACATCAAAAATCAAAACAATAGTTTATTATTGTTTTTATAAGCGTGGAAATAGTCACGAAATTAACACAGCACATATCCAGCTGAGTTATTGGTAAATATTCATTTTGAAGCTGCTCGGGCATCCACGCATATTTATGACCATTTGTGCTCTCATGGTGTGCCTTAACAGCCCGTGTGATGAATTGGGGAATCTTTTTCCCTATATCATGAATATTTGAATACTTATAGACGTGTAAGTCATGTGTGACTGTGTATACATGCATTCCTCTGTGCCTCGATACTGAAGCAGATGGTATTGATATTTTTTTTTTCTGTCTGCAGCTGACGCTCCCTCTGCAGAATTGGTCTGATGGAGCAACGGCACTCAGCGCAACTTGGTCCAAAAAGGCAACAATGTGACCAGTATGCAAACAACATGAATTGTACTAGAAACTTGATACAGCACCAGAGAACACACACTGGTGAGAAGCCCTTCAAGTGCACTGTGTGTTGGAAGTCGTTTTCATGGTCAACGCATCTTCGGATCCACCAGAGAACTCACACTGGAGAGAAACCATTCAAGTGCAGTGTGTGTGGGAAGGCGTTTGCATGGTCAACACATCTTCAGATCCACCACAGAACACACACCGGAGAGAAACCCTTCAAATGCAATGTATGTGGGAAGGCGTTTGCACTTTCATCAACTCTTAGAAAACACCAGAGAACACACACAGGAGAAAAACCTTTCAAGTGCACTGTGTGTGAGAAGGCATTTGCACGGTCATCAGTTCTTCAGACCCACAAGAGAACACACACAGGAGAAAAACCTTTCAAGTGCACTGTGTGTGAGAAGGCATTTGCACAGTCATCAGTTCTTCAGAGCCACCAGAGAACACACACAGGAGAGAAACCATTCAGGTGTACTCTGTGCGGGAAGGCGTTTGCACAGTCACCACATCTTCAAAGACACCAGAGAACACACACAGGAGAGAAACCCTTCAAGTGCAGTGTGTGTAGGAAGGCATTTTCAAGTTCATCTACTCTTAAACAACATCAGAAAACTCACACAGGAGAGAAACCTTTCAAGTGCTCTGTGTGTGAGAAGGCATTTGCACGGTCATCAGTTCTTCAGAGCCACCAGAGAACACACACAGGAGAGAAACCCTTCGGGTGCACTGTGTGCGGGAAGGTTTTTGCCGAGTCATCACATCTTACAATACACCAAAGAACACACACGGGAGAGAAACCCTTCAGGTGCACTCAGTGCGGGAAGGCATTTGCAGAGTCATCACATCTTAAAATACACCAGAGAACACACACAGGAGAGAAACCCTTCAAGTGCAGTGTGTGTGGGTTGACATTTTCAGATGCATCTACTCTTAAAAGACACCAGAGAACACACACAGGAGAGAAACCTTTCATGTGCACTGTGTGTGACAAGGCATTTGCACAGGCATCAGTTCTTCAGAGCCACCAGAGAACACACACAGGAGAGAAACCCTTCAAGTGCACTCTGTGTGGGAAGGCGTTTACACAGTCATCAAATCTTCAAAGACACCGGAGAACACACACGGGAGAGAAACCCTTCAAATGCAATCTGTGCGGAAAGGCGTTTGCACATTCATCACATCTCCAAAGACACCAAATGACACACAGGCATCAGACGATTCCCAAGGAGTGGAGTCTGAAATCTTCTTGTGAAAGTCAAAGTGCTGCAATGAGCCCATCCCTCATGAAACAAGAACCAGAAGAAAATCCCAACTTGGACACTTTTAAAGGTATCAAGGTGAAATATGAAGAGGCGAAAGTGAAATGTGAAGAAGTGACAGTGAAGAGTGAAGAAGTGAAGGTGAAATGTGAAGATTCAACTCCAAAATTGGACCTTCACATCGATGGAGGCAACGTGAAGCAGGATAATTGTGACTCTGAGGCAGAGCGAGGCAACTCCCAGCAGTTTGTGGAAGTGGAGGTGTGGCTGGACTTCTTAGACAATGCAAAGTCAAATGGAGACCCGGTAGATATGTAAGCTTGAGACGATGAAGCTCCAATAGATTCACCTTTGTCCCAGGCCTTTAATAAAAATGTGAAGTTGAACACTCAGTTCCTAGGTTGGGTAGATGTCTTACCAGAAGCGAGAGCCAGTACCCTTCCAAGTATTCACTATTTTATAATCATATTTGCATTTATATGGTGCTTGCTCTATTGCCTCAGCAACTCGTTGGAGTTTTGTATCATATCTCATCACAAACGCTCGAAGAGCACCCCGAAGTGGCAGCTGCCTCTGTCATTTTTTATGTTTGTAATTACCGCAAATTTTGACCATGACACCAACATGCAATGACCTATGCGTTTTGAATGACACAATAGTATGTTTTACATCCACTTTACATCCACTGTTAAGCAGAAAGTGCAAATTTTGGTTAATGTTACTGGAGTAGCCAAGGGTGCTTGTCGGATTTGAACATTGAACCTCTGCAATAAAAAGAGAATGCGCTACCACTTGGCTTCCCTCAATCTGAGTGTAGGCATGCCAGCCTGAATGTTTCTACCCGGCGCAGATGTTCCATTTAGAGGCGTCCACGTTTCACATGCCTGTAGAAGGGAGGACATGACTGGCCGAGAAGACCCGAAGCTTCGCGCGGAGCAACAGACAAAGTGGCTTCCACTCAGCATTACGCAGCTGATGAAAATATAATGGCACCTGACTGATTCAGACCACCCGCACAGTGTTCACACACATGCAGTGTAGACATGTATTGTGTACACTGTACCCGCAGTGTACACACCGCCTGTACATACACAGTGTATACACACGGTAACAAGAATCGCCATTCATCACTAAGTGGCTGTGACGTCACCACGGCGCTTGTGCCAGGCTATGTGCACGTCAAGGCCACGTAAAGTGGCGAACGCCCGCCGGCAGGAATTCACGGGGCAGACCCCGGTACCATGGGTCAACTGATTGAGATGACTGGCCGATGCATCACCCGTGCTCCTTTCTGTGCCAACAGTGTACACACAGTTTGTAGCACACAGTGTAGACACAATAATGTTCACGTTGTTGTTGAGCTCATGCACCCAAGGGGTCTCTGTTCAAGAGAGGGAGCAATGTAAAAGGAATTAAATAAACTTAAACTCTAACCCCGCTCTCTCACTCTGACATCACCACTCTGCATTACCTCATCGCCGTGAGACACCTGGGGGAGGTGTACCCACTTGTGATGTCATGTCACCAATGTATTCCCCTCCAACCCCCCTCCGCGCTTTTGAGCATGACGTCACGTTTGGTTGGTCACTGCCAATTTCCTTTTCCACTAAGATCCTTATTTGGGCAAAGCTACGCCCAATCCCTGGTGACTCATTAACATATTGTAATCATAAACCTTGACTTAAAACTTTCGTGACTGCAGGAATTCATATTCTTTGGTTCTTTTGGTAAGGTCACGTAGATAGAAAATAAAAAAAATAAAACGTGAATGAAAAAAAATTGTGTCTTTTCATCATGATCTAGTTCACACTTAACATTGACGTAAAAATGTCTACATCTGATTGGGAACATGTAGATAACATGACTGCTTCATCAGCCGCTACAATGTCAGCTAAAATGTAAAGATAACCTGATTTCCAAGTTCAACCTTTCCAAGAAGAAAACAGATCCACACATTGAAAAGTTAGATGTTGACAAGGTTATTAATCTGAGTAATAGCCCAATTTCTGATGGTCTAAAGTCGGTTTTGGCTAAAGGGTTGAACTTCTCAGTCACCTCCAAACACATAACAGTGGATGACATCATTGCCCAGGTCGATGTAGCTCTTAAGGGTTTGGGACACATCTCTGCAGACATGACAAGATCTGAAATTGCTACAACCCTCAAAAGCGCTTAGATACCAGCAACATCAGTAAGGATGAGCGTTTTGTGTGATCTCAATTGAAAAAGAGGGTTGATATCGTCATCCTCTCAGCCAACAAGGGCAATGCCATGGTCATAGACAAAACCGTGTACAATAATACAATTCAGGACCTACTTAATGATGGTAGCTACACGAAAATTAAAAGGGATCCCACCAACAGGCTCATTACAAAAACGGACAGTATCATCACTGATTCAGCTTCATTAATTGAAAAGACCAAACGGTTTTCCTTAAAACCTGCTGCGAGACCACCCAGATTATACGGCTTACCAAAAATGCATAAAGAAGGTACACCCCTTCTTCCCACAGTCTCCACCATTGGCTCACCCAACTACAAACTGGCCCGATATATTGACTTCAAGCTTTCGTGACTGCAGGAATTCATGTTCTCGGGTCTTTCGGTAAAGTCAAGTAGATAGGTTCAAATAAAATTACAAAAAAAACTACGGCGTTTCGAAACATAGTTTTTTTGTAATATTTTTGAAACCTTTCTACGTGACTTTACTGAAAGACCCAAGAACATGGCCCGATATCTGTCTGAGACCTTGCACCCATTCACTGGTAAGACCACCTCTTCTGTACTTAGCTCACCTGGTATGATGAATTAAGGACATCTCACTGTCCCCAGGTGATTTGCTCGTTTCGATGTTTCTTTGTTCACCAAAGTTCCTGTGCCCGATACCATTGCAATCATTGAAGATTTGGACCAACAAGAATTGCATGCTGATGTACCAGCCCTGGTGAGACACTGCCTCACCAATACATACTTCACCTGGAATGGAACATTCTAGAAACAAACTGAAGGCACCCCAATGGGTTCTCCCTTATCTCTGGTTGTAGCCAATATTTTCATGAATTTTTTTTAGATGATGCCATTCTGTCTACAGGAAAGTAACCCATACTGACGCCTACCTCAAACCTGATTCTCACCACCGTCCATCCCAGAAGAATTTCCTCATCAAAACGCTACACCATAGAGCTCAATGTATCTCCGACCAAGGCTTTGATTGGTGTAGATCGACTGCTGGTGTGGAGGTTTTCTTCTATAATAACATGAGCTGCTCCGTCCATGCTGCTGACACACTTAGGCTACGCCCATCTCTAAACCTTTATAAACAGTTTGCCTTTAGAGGCTAACCCCCTTTTTCCTGATGACGTCCACTTGTGTTGTGATCGAAACGTCGTGGTTTTTATTTTTATTCTGATTTTTATTTTATTTGTATTACTGAAAGAACCAGACAGTCTACATTATAGATTGCTAGTGCGCCCACTCAGGTTAAGAACCAGGCTACATTCTGCATTATAGACTGCCAGTACTCACCCAGCTTAACCATTGCTACAGTCTACATTATAGACTGCAAATATGCTCACCAGCTTGAAAACCAGGCAACAGTCTACATGATAGATGGCCAGTACACTCACCAAGCATAAAAATCAGGCTACAGTCTACATTATAGACTGCCAGTATGCTCACCGAGGTTAAGAACCAGGCTACAGTCTACATTATAGACTGCCACTACACTCACCCAGCTTAACCATTGCTACGGTCTACATTATAGACTGCCAGTACACTCAACAAACTTAATAACCAGGCTACAGTCCACATAGATTGCCAGTACACTCACTCCAATTAAGAACCAGGCTACAGTCTACGTTAGTGTTTTTTGTATTATTTCATTTTAATTATTTTTATTCGCTTTTTTTTGTATCTACGTGACTTTACCGAAAGAGCCAACGAATACAAAATATAATGTTTTAACTTAAAGCTTTCTTGACTGCAGGAATTCATTATCTTTGGGTCTTTCTGTAGAGCCACGTAGATAGAAAAAAAATAATACAAATATCACGACGTTTCGATTGCAACACAATAAATCGTCACCAGGTGAAAAATATATAGCGGGAGAGCTGCTGAGGCAGGGATGTTATATAGGTTTGAGATGGGTGTAGCCCAAGGGTCATAAGCGAAGTGGGCGGGACTAGTGATTACATTTGCATGTAAATGTAAGATCGTAGAGCTCAGCTACCTCCACGACGACGAAGCTGCGGAGGTGACCGTTGTATTGTGAGAGATTAGCTTGTCAATGTAAGATCGTGGAGCCACCGCCACATTGAGGAAAACGAGCAACGGTGGCTGTGTTAGTGAGACATTTAACCTGTTCATATAAATAAATTTAACCTGTTAATGTAACACCAGAGAGTCGAATATAACCACTGACATCGGCAGGTAGGATGGAAACATCACAGCCAGTTATGGCTTAAATTGGTTAATAACGTCCTTCCAATGATTGCTGAGTTTGTACCCATCTTCTCGGTTGAAATTGTGTCTGTGTTGACATATCTGGATGGCTTTATGAACTAATCTTTGCTGATAGCCAGTGGGTTTGCAGAGAACCTTCGTCATGGAAAAATCTATTTCGTGTGTGCCCACAGCATTAAAACAATGATCAGCCATGGCTGAGGTATTGGTCCGTCCATGTTTCAGATCTGCCTTATGTTCATGAATACGGTCCGAGACATGATGCTTAGTTTCCCCAATGTAACTACTGCTGCAGACACGGCTTAGTTTGTAGATGCCGGGGTATTGCATGTCAGGGATCACATCCTTCACAGATGGGATTAGATCACTAATTTTATGTACTGTGTGTAATCGAACCTGGATCTTGTGTTTGCTCATGATTTTGCAATTATTATTTTTGGCCCCTGCCTATGTATGGCCAAGGTGATGGTTTTGATTGGGTCCCCAGA